AATAAATGTAATATTAATAGATCACATTAATTTTGTATAGTATTGCGCAAATTCCCGCCAAACAGCAAGCTTTATGCGCTTTACAGTTTATATCAAAGTTCTTGTAAATCTAGCAATGAAAACCACTGCCATTGCTCATGCTGTGGATTCAATAGCTCTGCGACTCTTTTTGTTCTGTATTGATATATTTGTGCTACTTAGTGACTTTTTATTCTTGTTGGCGTGAGTTGTTATTGTTTATTAAATGAAAGTGTTTTTCGCACTAATTGAGGCGATTTAGACAAATTAGGAGGCGGGCTTCCGACCATGCTTGTCAGGGCTAACCTGTGCTGAAAGGGATACAATATCATAATAGAAAGACCTACCAAGATACTGGTTAAACATTTTCTCCCCAGTTGGGAATCGGATTTGGGTCACATTGGTGTCACAGCGAAGCACCTAGCTGCTACAACACTTACACCGATGAGTGAGCAGTACTCACAATAAATTCTTGAGTATTGCCCATGTCGAGATATAATTTTTGTTTTTCAGGCTACATACTTGAGGGGTGAAATATTGCAGTTATAGAGCGTACTCACCATACATGTTTTATCATCAACAATCAAGTCATCTTTTTGGACACGTATGATATCTTCAGGCATTGTATATGACGCCGGGAAAAAAAAGCCAAAATGAGCCTTCTGTCCCTTTTCTGGTTCTGTGGGAGAAAAATCCGTCACCGCTCACAGCAGCTGCAGCTGTCGTTTACCTTTGCGGGCTGCTCCGCACAATGAGTGCTTTACTTGAATTTACGCGGTAAGTCGAACAGAGAAAAAAAATCAATTATGTTTCAATAAATTGTACTCAGATGTGGCTAGTAACGGGTTTATGAATGTCTCTGGTCCAGGAGAGTGCGTGTGAGTTCAGAGTGCTCACTTTGGGTGGGGCAAAGATATACTGATATAGATTTTACAGTGAATCACATCATTTTGTCGTGGCAGTGTTATCGCATCACTTTGTTGCCTTTGTAGTTTTCCTGTGCAAGCCAGGGTGCTGATTTGAAGGATAGACTTATTACATGGTGCAGTTTTTCTTGAAATTAGACTTATAAATCAACCCTATTGCCTAATATATAATCTTGTCTAAAGAAAAAAGAATGTTACCAAGTTTGACCCCTTGAAATGAGGGTAATCATTACTCTATAGGATGGCGTACATTGAATTTAAAGCCCACATACACACACGCA